CCTCTTCTAGAAAATACAGTAGGTCCTCGGGTTACGTCGGAGATCCGTTCCTATGGCACTACATAACGCAATTTTCACCATAAGTCAGGACCCACCTACATAAGCACCTACGTCACTCACACAGTAATAATGAAGTGAAACAGTAAAAAAATTTAAAAGAAAGATAACAATTCCTGGCCGTTACTTGTGGTAAATAAATAATAAAAAACATAAAGCACATATGTACATACATCGAAATGACGGAACTTTTTTTTTTTTAATAAATGGAAGATGGCGACATAACCATGAAACGACGTACATCGAGTCCGACGTAACCCGAGGACTGCCTGTACAGAAAAGAATGCCTAGCTCACAGAACTCCTGTGAGTGTTCAGAGAGAAGATACATGAAACGGGTTTGGAAGATACATGGAATTCAAAACACAAAATTAAGATGGAAAAGTTATAGCATTCTCAAGTCTGTGAGCTCAAAAGAGAAAATATTTTAAAAGCGTCCACTCAAAGCCTTGGTGCCGAGGGGTGGCTGGATCACAGTCCTGCCATTTACCAGGTGACGGTGTGTGTGTGTGTGTGGGGGGGGGTGGTTACTCAAGCTCACAGGGGCTCCAGACCTCATCCATACGTTGGGGATAATAACTCATCAGGTTGTTGGGAAATTTCAATGAGGAAGCACAAGCAAAGTGCTTAGAACAGAGAAGGGCACGCGTGTAGCACACAATCAACGCTAACTGATCTTATTAACGATAAAAAGTGACCCCTGCCATTTTTACTACTCTAGACCACACTGCCTTTTGTTTTTAAAAAATTAAATTATGAGAAATGAAGCCTTGACTGTGTAAGCTTCATGATTTGACTTGTAACTAATCCTCCCAGGATAGCATCCTCTCCCCATTTTGTTCTGCACACAGATTTTCTTTTTTTCTTCAGAAAAGAAAAGGCAGAGTATTGAAAGGGAGACTAAAAAGTACATGACACCTTCCCTGGGAGAACGGGTGAGTAAAACAAGGCACTCAAAAACAAAGACAAACAAAAAAACAAGGCGCTCGTCCTCAATGGCTGCTTCTCTGAATGGGCATCCTTTGGAGGCAGAAAGACACATCTTCTCTCTGAAGAGGTCCCCCAGACTGGGAGGGTCCTCCCTAGATTCTCATCCCAGGCCAGACAGCCCACTGGAGGGGAGGGCAGGGGGGGAGCGGGGAGGTGTCGGCCCAGAGGCAAGGCCCAGGTCCTGCAGTCATTGTGGGTTCTAACTGCGGACTTCAATCCCTCCACCTTCCTATGAAAATAACTGCAAATGTCTCTGTAAATAAAAGGTCACTGTTGGCTTGTTTCCCAAGAAACTTTCCAACTAAGAAACTGAATGTCAAATGGGTCTGTCGGGTTTCCATCCTGATACGGCAGCTGGGAGCAGACACCAGAGAAAGAACAATTATTTCCCCCCCGTTTCCTCCTCCCCCAGTGCTGGGGAGGTGACGAAATTCTTATCTAGAACTTGATAGGATGTAGAAAATAATTACAAATGAAAAGGTTATTCATAATTTTTAAATGAGTTAATTAGTAAACCCAGTCAGACTCACTCATTACGGTAATTAATAATTGATTATACTTGAAATTAAACACAATTTTTCATCAAAAATCTAATTAAATATCTGTGCTTTAGCCTGTTGATTAGATTGGTTGGCCTGCTGGAAAAAGAGTCTTTGTTAAGGATATTTATGCTCGGCTGAGACAATTAATTTGATTTTTAATAATTGATAGTTCCTTACAAGTTAGTCATCACAGCCTCTGATTATGGCTGAGCAACAAGCCTCTCATGGCTCCCCCCAGCAGCTGGAGGAGATCGAGCACGGAGGTGGCCGCCCCCAGCCCTGGAGGAAAGCTAGGGATGGCCTCGCACCTGCAATGCATCCATCTGCATTAACTTACCCAGCCTCAGACCAGCTTCGGAGGGAAGGGGTCCTGCCCATTTCCTAGATGAGGAAGTCTGGGCTCAGAAAGAGAAGTCGCCCAGGACAAACTGGCCATGTAGCCGAGCTGGGAGTGGAGTCAGGCTGCTGGGCTGCCTGTGAGCTGAGGCTCCATGTGACGAGAGGAACACCCTCGACTTGCCTCTCTGACCTGGTTCTTGGATATGGAATCTAGGGTCCAGTCTGAACGTTTCAACACAGAGAGAGCTTTCTCAGAAAGATGTGTTCATCGTGTCAGGGAGATGTGATCAATGGCCTGACCACTCCCAAGTTGAGACACAGATTCTAGTCCATCAGCAATAGATCTCCCCTCCTCCCACCCACATTGCCACCGTCTTAGTTGAAGCCCTCGGCTTCTCCTTATTTGTTTACTGCAATAGGACCTCTTCCTCCTCTACCCTTATCTTTCTAAAATAAAACTGACTGTCCTGTCACTGCTTAAATCCCTCCAATGGCTCCCAGCTGCCTGCCCATTAGGTCCTTCACTTGGCCTCCATCGTAAACTTCATAATCTGACCAAATTCTCTTGTAGTAACTCCAACACCCCTCAAGTGCTTCAAACACAGGAAATGCCTTTACCACCACCTTGTCCTCTTTCAAGTCTGAAACTTTCCTCAGGTTAGAATACCCTCCTTGCCTGTCTGTCTATGGTTAATTCTGACTTAAAGATTCAGCTAAAACATCACCTTTCCCAGGGAGCCTCCCCGCGTCCTCCTGATGGGGGCTGGGTATTCCCACAGCCCTGAGCTGCCTCAATCACTGCCAACACAGCTGTCTCCTTTGCTGAACTACAAACACCTCAAGGGTAAGGATCACATCACCAGCCCTAACACTTAGACTATGCCTGGCTCAAAGCAGGTATCCCTTAGGGTTTACTGAACAAAAATAAAAATCTTAGAATCATAGATTCAAAGACTATCAAAGTTGGAAGGAAAAGTAATGATCATCCAGTAAAAACCCCCAATCAGTGCTTGAATCTTATTCTTACTATGTGGTCGTCAAGGTCTAGTTGTACCCTTCCTATGATAGGGAGCTCACTACCTCAAACAGTAGTCCCTATCTTTTTAGATAGCTGATAACTGACAACATAAATGGGGTGACTGACTGTATTAAATGGGAAAGGAAGAAGCCCACGGGATGGAAGCAGAAGAGAGCTTAATCATATGAAGATTTATTCTTTCTCCCTGAACGAGGCAGTTCAGTATAAACCTCAAGACTTCAATGTTAAACAGGTCTATACATAGCAAACCACTTGACTCTTGACGAACAGTGACACTGCTTGTTCAAAAGCCTACCCATTGAGCAAATGGAAAATGTCAGTCAAAAGCAAGTGCTGTGCTAGCGGTTTGCTGGGACACAGGAAGAAACGTTCATGCTGGGGGACGGTGCTTGGAACCCCACCACCCTCACCTGTAACCCATTGAAGTCTACCTATGATGCACACCTTTCCCAGAGTCTGGTTGTTCCTTTCACCCTCAGCAGAGATGGCAAACACCTGGTATGTCATCAATATTCCCCACTCCTGTGACCATGACAGATATATTATTAATCAATCACAGAGGCTCTTTCCCATTGGGTCTGAATATAGCCTCAGGATCCTTCTCAACACAGCTTTCTAGGCAGCAATAATCAATCCACCCTATCGCGGAGATGAAACATGGATGCCAGTCTAGCCTTGGAGCCATGAAATTCCCCAAGTCAATCTCCACAAGGGGAAAGGAGCCCTGGCACACAAAGGACGCTTTTTACAGCTCGAGATTAAGGAGGCTGCCTTGTTTATAGGACTCTCATCTTCCTGGTTATCTGTTATGAAATTCGAGTATCTTGAAAGGGAAGTGACTTTATAGCTCAGATCACCCAAACCCCCATCCATGCTTGAGTCCCTTCACCATGCCCTGAGCAAGTGGGGGCCTGAGTTCTGTGGATCATTCCTAGTACAGCCCTGTGTTCATCCAAAACACCTTCGCAGGGTCCTTTTCCACAATGGGCAGCACTTCTGTCTTCCTCTGGCCAGTTTCTTCCTTTCTGTTTATCCCCTTTGCTGGCAAAATCATCTCAGAATTCCTTAGCGTGGGCTCAAGGCCTCAAGCTGGCCTGCCCTACCTTAAATCTTGGAATTATAGATGTGAAGGTTGGAAAGGACGGAGGGAGAAGCCAACCCTGCCAGATGTCTTTACCAACAGGTGATTTACGTAGAGGCAGCAGTCTCTACACAGTACCTGGGGGTCTCTTCTGATTAACATCTTCCCTGGGAGCAGACCAAAGAGAAGGGTCCGGAGCAGGAAACCAGACTGCATGGGGAATATATCAAAGCAGCAGGCAGTGGGAGGCATGCTGTGGGAGCAAGGCAATGGCCAGGAGTGTCTTACATCACGGAGGTGCCCTGGGTCCAGTAGGAAGGCCAGTCAATGCTGCCTGGGGTCTCTGAGCATCCCTCAGCGGCTCTAACTGTTCCCTGTTAATCCTGTACCTACCTGGGATGTCTCTTCTCTGGGCTCCTACCCATGGTGTAATTCTGGATCTTGGTGCCTACAGCACCTCAGATCACATTGCCAGAACCGCACCTTCAGACACGCTTTCCTGGCTTGAGGTCAGCACAGTCCAAACTGTGGCAGTTTCCCTGCAATCCCAGGGCACCCCACCTTCTTCCTGCTTCTTGCTGTAGCTGCATGGCACCCATGGGAGAAGCCTGCCTGCATCTGGCCTCTCCAACTTGTTGCATCTGTAGTGACTAACTTATGACGCTCCCTACCACCTCAAATGCCAGTCGTAGGAAGTGCCTGTGCCTAATGCTGGGCATCCAAGACATGAAAGAGAAAATGCCAAGCTCACCTCCTGGCATATGGTCAGATAGGAAGGGAAGAGGGGGCCCTGGGGTGCGGACATTAATAGTTTTGGGGTGCAGGCCAGCCCAGAGCTCCAGAGCTGCCTGGCTCTCCCTGCGGCGGGTGCCTTCAGTGCCCACAGGTGTCCTGGCCACTGCCCTCTGGGCCAATGGGGAGTGAAGGGAAGCTGGGGCGAGGGCGGTGCTTACCCACAAAGTACGCCAGCAGGATGACTAGTGCGGCTGAGATGACGATGGCGCTCAGGGCTGCGCACTTCCAGTTACAGTACTTGGAGGGCTTCTTGAGGTTGAAGGCTGGCCGGGTGAAGGTGCTGCGGGGCAGTGGCCGGGGCGGAGGTGAGTACACTGTGCTGGAAGTCAGAGGGTACCCTGGTGATGTGGTGCAGAAGAGTGGGGAGGTGCCTCCTGGCTTGAAGAGGAAGTGCCTGTGGATGGAGAGAAGCCAGAGGGCATCAGGGTTGGCTGGCTCGCCAGGGACCCAGGTCAACCTAGAGGACAGAGGCAGGAGTAGAAGAAGCATGCACAGGAGCCTAGAGAGAGAGAGTTGTCACAGAGAAGATGGGGGGGGGGGGCAGGAAAAAGGAGAATCACGTACCAGACCACAAAACAGGGCTCACGAGGACACGTTTCCACGGAACACGGATGGGACAGCCCTGCCCAAAGGGAAAGCCACCCATGCCAAGGCAGAAGGTGCTACCTACTCGACAGAAGGCTGGGTGCTGAGATCCTTTTCCTGGGAAGGAATGGGGCTGGAGATGCTGTTTTGTGGGGAATAAACTAGCTGTTCTCCAAAATTACTGCAGTAACTTGGAAAGTATCTAAAATCCTATTCTGTCCCCTGGAGATAATGAAACCCCAAATTTTTCTTCACCTTCCAATACCTACTTTGCCAGTGCATCTTGCTGAAGGAATGGAATACCAGTCCTTTGAAAGGGGGCTATGGAAGTTTGAGAACCAAGAAACCACCACTGCCATGATCAAGAGTGCTCTGGTGGCTGTTACATAGCCACTGGCAGCAAATGCCTTTGAAGCACTCTGCTCAGAAGCCACACTGCTGCCTTCCAAGCCCCTGGTAAAAGCTTAGCGGGAGGACAGACGGGCAGCTGCATCCTGCGGCCTAGCTACAGTCTCAAGGGCAGCATGGCATGGTCCAAGCACATGGTTGTGGCCAGACGAGGCAGCAGGAAATCCTCCAGAGCTTGGCGTTAACCATGGCCATGGGAGGACTTGTACACAGCCTAGGAAATGGGGTTCTTGGTTGCACTGCATGCCCCCAAGTCTTTGGGTCAAGGGTAAATCTTAGGGGTAATCTCACACTCTGTTATGGTGCAAGATGCCTCAGGGCCCAAACATATAGCAAAGGGCCTGTGCTGCATAAAATTTGCTGCATGAGATGGCTTTCAAAATGGCAGAGGCAGCCAATGAGATGCTGGGAGCCGCATATTAACAAGACTGCTGTTAATATGCTGGAGGACAGGGTATCCAAGGATAAGCTCTTGCAATTTGAACGTGGACTTGGGAATGGGCATGCAACATGGCATCATCACCTCCCCTGGAGATCCCAGGGAAAGGTCTCAGGGTCCGCATGCAAGGGTGGGAGCCGCGGAAAGAGCACACACAGAGAGGAAGAGCATGGGGATGTCACCTACCCGTCACCGTAAGCCCCATCATGGCGGGAGGCGCTGAGAATGTCCATCTCAATGAGGTTGTCCTGCAATGTCCCTAGGAATGGCTGCTTGCCTAGGTTTCTACGCACACATGGAGACATGAATGAAGCCATGAGTCATGCATCGATGAAGGGGGATAGTAGAGAAACACACAGAGTGGCTGGCTGGGGCAGCTGTGCGCGAGACCAGCGGGGCAGTTTCCAGGCGATGGGTCTGTGTGCAAGCCACATGTGCAGGGGTCTGCCTGGCACAGAGCATCCAGAGGCAGCATTCTCCGTATAAACCAGAATGGCTGGCCGTTGTGTGCATCAAGTCACGGCTCTCCCTGATGAAGACTGGTTATGCCTCAGGCACTGAGCTAGGCATGTTATAGCCATTTATCTCAAATCTTCAAAACAGGCTATGCAAGGAAGGCAGTATTATTCCCATTCTACAGATGAGGAGACTGAGAGGGGGAGAGGTAACAGGACTGGCCAAGCTGACCAAGCTGACCAGCTAGCAAGGTTCAAGGCAGGAATTTGGGCTCAGGTTTATCTGATTCCAAACCTGTGCTTTCCCCTCTACTTGATACCGCCTACCTCTGCGTAAACAATAACTACGGACACTCATTTTGCCGATCCAGAGAAAAAAGAAAGGCAAGCATTGGGGGCCATTTTCCTCTAAAGCAGTGGTTCTCAAACTCGGTGAACACCAGAAGCACCTGGAGAGCTGTGCTCTACTGAGGGCCACCCCAGAGGGTTGGCGTCAGCAGGTGGGCACAGGGCCTGAGGCCCCGCATTGCTTGCACGCCCCCAAGCTGATGCTGACATATTTGGAGTGTCATGTCCTCTAGCAGTGCAAACACCTGGGTGATGACTGATTGGTGAAGACGCCACCCCAATGAAGACAGAGGGAGGCTCTGTGTACCTCCAAGTGCACACAGGGCAGCACAGCATTTGTTACTTTACCTATTTCAAACCCGGAAGGAAGACAGACACACTAGCCGTTTTGGTCTCAGTCACACCTGCTAAGTGGCATCATTCACACTTGCCCTGGAACCTGTTTCTGACATTTTCAGGACGGCTGCCACCTCACCTGAAAACCCCAGAGTGACTCATTTCCAACAAGCCGGTGTTGGCATCAGCCGGTACTGGCATCAGCCTGTTGTGTGCACACCAGGGAAGGACTGACTACAGAAAGCTGACTTTCGGGTCCAGCCCTGCCAGGTGCCTTGTTCTGACTTTGACTAGGTCTTGAGAACCAGAAAGCCCCAAATCAAGTCCCTTTTCTGCCACTTTCTTGCTGTGTGACTTTCTGTAAAAATTTTATATATACATATTTTTAATTCTCACCCGAGGATATTTTTTATTGATTTTAGAGAGAAAGGAAGGAAGAGTGAGAAGGAGAGAGAGAAGAGAAAGATCAATGTTTGAGAGAAACATTGATCAGTTGTCTCTCATGCGTATCCCAAGTGGGGATCAACCCACAACCTAGGTATGTGCCCTGAATGGGAATCGAACCCGCTACCTTTTTTGTGTGTGTGTGTGTGTACAGGATGATACTCAACCAAGTGAGCCACCCAGCTCAAATCAAGTCCCTTTTCTGCCACTTTCTTGCTGTGTGACTTTCTGTAAAAATTTTATATATACATATTTTTAATTCTCACCCGAGGATATTTTTTATTGATTTTAGAGAGAAAGGAAGGAAGAGCGAGAAGGAGAGAGAGAGAGAGAGAAACATCAATGTTTGAGCGAAACATTGATCAGTTGTCTCTCATGTGTATCCCAAGTAGGGATCAACCCACAACCTAGATATGTGCCCTGAATGGGAATCGAACCTGCTACCTTTTTTGTGTGTGTGTGTGTACAGGAGGATACTCAATCAAGTGAGCCACCCAGCCGGGCACTGTAAAAACTTCAACCTCTTCATATTGTGTACTTCCTTCATCTGTAAGATGGGGATAATAATAATTTTAAACTTACAAAGTTGCTATAGGACCAACTGAGTAACTCTGGCAGAATATTTAAGGGCAAAACAAATACTGTAGAAATGCTAACGCTAAATATAAGCTGCTATCTACCCTACCTTCACTGGGTGCTAGTCACTGTTCTGGAGCTCTGCAACTATCATCTAACGTGCATCATATTCCTCACAACACCCCCACCATCAGTGCCACCGTCTTTGTTTTGTAGGCTGGCAGAGCTAGGTCCCATCACAGAGTAAGCGAGCAGCAGGGCCAGAGCGGAACCTCGCTGTGTCGGACCCCAGAGCTCGGGCCTCTCTGCTCTTAACCCTCTGTCACTGCCCAGCCTGTGGCTCCGCCCCCGGCAGGCCTCACAGAGCACAGTGAGGAGGGGCTGTAAGTACTCTCAGAGCACTGCTGCATCAACTTTTCCCGGGACAGCGAGAGCACAAGGCAACACTGGGGACAGCGAGAGTACAAGGCAACACTGTTTTGCAGCGGGGCCCGCTAGTACTGCCATGATGGTGGGACCTCCACTCTTAACCCTCTGTCACTGCCCAGCCTGTGGCTCCGCTCCCGGCAGGCCTCACAGACCACAGTGAGGAGGGGCTGTAAGTACTCTCAAAGCACCGCTGCATCAACTTTTCCCAGGACAGCAAGAGTACAAGGCAACACTGTTTTGCAGCAGGGCTTGCTAGTACTGCCATGATGGTGGGACCTCCGCTTCCAGGAAGCCCTCAGGCTGTCTGGCAGGCTGTTCTGTGGTGTTTAGGAACCCAGGGCTGACTGGGAGAAACTGAGGGGTGTGGAAGTCCCTCAGAGCAGCCTCATTTCTGCCCAGGGAGGTGGCCTCAGGGCACGTTGAGAGGCACACAGGCCCTGGGGTCAGACAGGTGTCAGCTCCATCATTCACTGGCCCTCGGGCAGGAGAGCTGGTCTCAGATCTCAAGGGGCATGACTAAACTGGGATGATTACTCTCCTTGTATAAGCTGAAGTATAACTTGGGTCATGCCACTTTTCTGCTCAACCCTCCAATGGCTCCACGAGAATAAAACCATGGTTCTTACCAGGGCCCATAATATCTTGCACGATCTGACCTCCTGCTACCTCTCCAACTTCATTTTCTGTGCTACACATACCCCAGCCTCCTCGCTGTCACTGCAGCAAGCTAACCCTTGCTGTCATTTGCCTGAATTGCCTTTCGCCAGATATTGGCCTGGATCATTCCCTCCCTTCCAGCCCTAACCATAACCTAGTGGACTCCCAGCTTAAGGCTCCCGCTAAATTTCCTGTCCATCCCCACCCTCCTCTTCCCCAGCACCCCCTGGCTGCCTGCACTGCTTTAGTTTTCCTCACAGGATCAGACACACACAACGCACATGCTTATTGTGGTTTTTCCCTAATGCAATTTAAGTTCCATGAGAATAGAAATCTTAACTGCCTCATTCTCTGCCCGTGTGCCCAGAGCCTGGAAGGATGCCTGGAACATGGCAGTAGGCACTCAGTAAATATTCGCTGAAAACTGTGAATGGTGGGGTGGGAAAAGGGCAGCGCTCCTGGCATATTGCAGGCACGCAGTTGGTATTTAATCCAGAGTGGCACAGGTGATGTATTATTACTTCCTCCAATCCCTCATTTCAAGAGGGAATTTCCAGTCTTTCTATAGTCCATATGCCAAGTGTCAGCAGGCCCTCACTGCCCCTGCCCAGAGGGCCCAGGGCCGAGCTCCGGCTGCCTCCCTGCTGCTGAGGTGGGCTGCATGGCATCTCCCAGCAAACATCTCGAGTCCAGCCTGCATCATTCTCCTAGGACTATGTTCTCAGTGAGTCAAAGCTATCCCATAAAACCCACCAGAAACAAACAAACATATTCAGAGAAAAGATGAAAATGTTAACAGTGGGGATTTTGTAGTGTCTGGATTGAGTGATTTTTATTTTACTTTTATATTTTAATAAGAAACCGTTATTTTAAAAAGAGAGAGAACAACTATGTTAAAAGTACAAGTTTGTCAGGACAAGCGAAGAGGCAGTGTAACAGAACGAGGGGTTCTAGAGTGCTGGAGTGTCAGGTTTCCCTAAAGAGCTCCCACACTCACTTGCTAAACCGCTGCCTATTCAGAATGCTACTGCTGCCTTAAAATAACCGTACCCTGTACATTTCAAACTTAGTTCTGGGTCAGATTAGGAGGCCTCATTTGATTGATGATGAAACTGAGGCCCAGAGAGACACGTGTCCTGTTGCCATACACAAAGCCAATCAGTGGCAGAGCTGAAACTAAAACCCAGGTGTCCTGACTCCCAGCTTAAGGCTCCCCATTACATTTTCTGTCCATCTCCATCTCTAAAGTGGGGACGACAATAAGACTGCCTACCTGTGCAGAAAAGAGTCAAGATAGCGGTCCTGACTGCTCTCTTTTCAAAGGCTTGCTTATAAGGTTGGCCCTTGGCTGGTGTCTAGAAACTTAGGTTCCAGGAAGGTTCCTGCCATTAACAGATAAGAGTGGCTGACTCACTGTGCCTGAACTATTTGTGCAAAAAATACGGTTTATGCTGTGCTGAACACATGCTCTCCTTCTGGGAGTCTGGCATTTGGGTACTTGCCAGGCATAAGTGCCTATGGGACCAGCCCCAGTGGAAATCCTGGGCACTGAGTCTCTAATGAGCTTCCTTGTTTGGAAGCACCCAGAAGGGCCCTATGAGGGTCTGTTATGATTGTTACATGATGGCCATGCAGAGGGAGCCACACTGTCCTGTTAGCCCCCAGCACTCCCCGAGTCAGAGCATTACCCCGAGTGCCATCTTCATTCATTCACTACAGGTCTGCCTCCCTCACTGGCCTATGAGCTTCCTATATGGCCTCTGTGTCTTATGCATGTCTGTGACTGAATCACCACCTGGCAGGGATGACTATCCATCCCAACTCCTTGCAATGATCAGGGGTTGGCCTGGTCCACCAGAAGTTCCTTTGTGCCATTCTGGGAACCATACCAGGGCTGCAATGGAGACCATGAGGATGGCCTTCCATCCCTGAGGGTGGGCAGGGCTGTTCCTCAAACTGAGTATGACCCTACAATTTGGGACTCAGGCTCCCAAATCAGGCCCAAGATCAGATGAACTAGAGCCGAAGTCTGGCAGCCCTCTGCTCTGGCTTCCCCTTCATCCGACAGGAGCCTGACGGGTTATTAATCAGATAGTCCCTGGGAAATCAATTAAGTGTCTGCTGCTGCAGAGTGTGAAGGAAGTGGGTCAGGGTTTCGGGGACCCTGAACACATGGCTTCCACCAGAATGGACTACAGATGCTCCTGCAGGCCTTGAAGAAACATCTGACCCGGCTATCTGGAGAACAGGTCGGCCTGGTTTCCTCCCTCGGGGACTCAGTTACCCTTGGGGAGGGCCATAGTCACAGAAGGAACAGAGAAAGGAATGGGTCAACCAAGTCCTTGCGCTCTCCTTTGTCCCTCTGCTAGCCTTTCTTTTCCTGCCAGCAAGAAATCTAAATCCCTTCTGGTCATCCTACCAGCTGTGGTGGTATTTTCTTAGCTATTTATTTTAGTCGCTCAACATAGACTCCATTTGACAATTGGGGAAAAGCCCGTGACTGTTTCTCGGCGTCAGAAGGCTCCCTGTTCTGGTGGGGCTCGGCAAGGCTGCTTAGGACAACTCTCTCAGACAGGCCCTGCTCAATGGGCACCTCGGCCTCTGTTCAGGCTGTGCCTCTGAGGCCCTCCCTACCTCCCCAGCTGCCCCTGGCGGCTTCTGCTTGCACTCCAACTCTTGGTCACACAACATCAGGTCCACTGGGAAGTCTTCCCTTTGTTCCACTCAAGTCTCAGGTGAGTATATTTATTCATTATGTTCCATCATTCTCTTATTTCACCTGTGAATTTATCTTTATCAAGCACCCATCCAGATGCAAGCCCTGTGTTGTGAGCTGGGGATCCCAAGGCAATGAAAACACACATCCTCTGTGCTTACCTCTATCATAGCACGTATCCTACCGCAAGTGTCTGTTCTATGACATGTCTTACCTGTTATGCACACAGTGAGCATTTGGTGAATATTTTTCTGAATAAAAAAGTACCACATAATAAATAGTTGAGCACATACTGTGTGCTAAGACATTTTCAGACATTACCTTATGTATCTGCTACTATAGCCTTGTGAGCCTTGTGAGGCATGATGGTAGATTGGATTAAAAGTGTCTAAAAATTCTTGGGCACGTCTCCCTTTTGAGAAGTGACTGCTGTCCCTCCCCTTGAAGCTGGCTGGCCTATGACTGCTTTGTCCAACAGTATATGGCCATGCCTTAGAAGGATCAATGATTTCGGTCTCAGCGCCATGGAGCCCTGAGCCACTGAGTATAAAGTACAACTCCAGGCTGGCAAGACTGTGTGGAGAAGCCCTGAGACCACAGTAGAGGGAGAGGGGTCCCACTGAGTGCAGCTTTCTAGCTGTCTCCCCCAAGGTGTCGTGTCAGGCATGTGAATGAAGCCTTTTAGGATCCTTCAGACTAGCCCACTGACAGCTAAATGCCACTGATTGACTTCAGTTGATGCCACATGCAGCAGAAAACTAGCCCAGCTGTGCCCTTCCTGAAATCCTGACTCTCACTGTGAAGTATAATACTAGTAAACTGGTGGTTTTTTAAGCCACTAAGTTTTGGAGTCATTTTTTTATGCAGCAACAGATAATCGGAACAGGAAGTTACTCATATTTCCTCCCCTTTTTTAAGGGAACAATTTAAGGTCTAAGTTCATAGCTAGTGAGCACTGGGATAGGAGTTTGAACATATGTTGTGTCTGACCCTAAAACCCGAGCTTTGGACAACTTGCTACATTAGGACCAAACTTACTTCTCTAAAGTCGAGAAGAGGTACAACCTACTATTTCCTCTCAACTCCTCAGGTGAGTAGGGGCTCAGTAAATACTTTTCAAGTGACTTTTTCTTCAGTGTTGACATGGGAAGCAGACACATATGGAGGAAAAGAGGGAAATAGCTTTTAGAGTATGTCTTTAATGCTGGACACTGTGCTATGTGCTTCTCACATTTATTTCCTCCCAACCTGAGAGGCATGCATTCTTATCCCAATTTACAGATGGAGAAATCAGGTTTGAGGATGCTAAGGAACTTGCCCAGCTAGTAAGTGTTAAGACCAAGATAGGAATCCCAGATGGCCTCCTTCCCTCTGACTCTAAAGCCCATATTCTTCCTACCTCACCATGATAGTCAAAATTAGTTGTGATTCTATCTGCCAGACTCGACACTGAGCCTTCTTAAACTGTACTCTATTTGTTTTGTGCCATCAACCAGTGAAGGTCAATATTGAGGTCCAGAATTCTGATTGTGTTATCCATTATATTAGGTACCTCTCCCCATTTTAGGCCATCTTTAGAGGCACGGAGGGTCACAGAGGAAGTCTATCTCAAACATTTCATCTGGGTTTCAAGAATAAGTAGGACTTGGCTGGACCAGGCAGTGAAGAGGAGGGCAACTCTGGGGAAAGGGTTGTGCAAGAGCATGTGCAAAGGCACTGAGGCGTAAAGGGGATGAGATATTGGGGGAAGGTTGATAAATACACATGTATGTACACTTACTAGTACATACACATCATATAGTGAATATTATATATACTAGCATATAATTATGACATGCTTGAGTACAGAGATATATAAAATGGTGTACATTAGTATATGACAGCATGTTAACAATGGTTATCATTTGGTGATAGATCTGAGTGATTTTCTGTTCTTGCTTATTTTCATTTCCTAACTATTCTCCACCACATTTATTACTTGAATAATAAAATAGAATGGTTATCATTTGGTGATAGATCTGAGTGATTTTCTTTTCTTGCTTATTTTCATTTCCTAACTATTCTCCACATTTATTACTTGAATAATAAAATATAAGGAAAAAAGAAATCAAGGTTCCATGTGGTTTGAGCAATGGATGTGGGAGGATGGAAGGTCAGAAAGGCAGGTGAGGACTGGCTGGCGAGGCAAGAGAGGTAAGTGGGGTCCACCTTCGCATCTCAAACCAACTTCGTGCATCAGGAAAACATCCCTGCTGCTTGTCTTCTAGGTTCTGTTCCCTTGAAAAACCTGGAGAACCACCTAATTGGATCCTAAGTGATAAAAATGAGCATCTAAGCCAAGGGAGTGGCCGCCATGTTCCGTGCAGAAAATCAGAACCATTGATTATTTGCTGGCTTCTTTCAGCCACGCACAGTCATTCAATAAGCACGTTGGAAATAATAGAGATCTGATTAAGCTATTTGGATGGGATGACATATAATAATCGCCCCCAGTCACTGATGATAGCAAAGGAGGCACAGAGGGATACGTCACACATGATTTTAAAGGCTGTCAACAAAAACAATGGTAATTAAGAGACTGGAGGTGGGGCAGGTGGGGCTGTCTCTCTGGGAAATTTGCTTTTGGGGAAATGATTCCATAGGAGTAAAGTGGTGTAAAAGGACGTTGATTTTCTCTCACTGAACCCCACAGGCTCAGCATGCAAATATCACAATCATGTTCCAGGCAGAGTCAGATGGGTACACTTTCCAGTATAGATTACTTTCCCTTCGTTAAATGCAGAATGATTTTGTCCTCTCCACTGATATGGGGCAGGAGTATGAGATGATAGGGTAGAGGGTTAAGGGGTGCCAGCCTGGGACACTTCATCTCCAGTTTAGAGATGGGCCAGGTCCCCCAAAGTCCACACTGCTTGTCTCAGAGGGGTAGGAGTATGGGTAAATCTCATCTTGGTCTTGATATCTCCCTGTGTTTTCTCCAGGGAGTTTTTGTTGCTTTCATAATCATAAGAAAATTTCAATTTTGGAAAAAGAGTGGCTAATCAGAGGGAAGGAGGCCAGCTACTGAGTCTCTGAGCTGAAGGAAGCATTGCACAGGGCTGGAGAGGTGGCAGGTCCAGGCCAGGAGAGACCTGAAGATGGTGGCTGGGGTCTAGGGAGATAGCACTGCACACAGAGTCAGGCAACTGGGTTCAAATCTTAGCTGTGCATCAACTGCCTCTGTGGCCTGAGCTAGTCACTGACCCTCCCGAGTATAAAGGGGCCAGCAGGAGAGGAGAGTTGGGGGAGGGGAGCAGAAGAGGGGGCAGAGCATTCATTGAGCACCCATCACAGGCCAGGCAGGCCCCATACCAGGCATAGGGGCACCATATCATAGTAGGGAAGGGAGGAGGTGTGGACCCAATCATGGACTGACAGCCTGATCCTACCACATACCTGTGCTGGACACCTTCACACATCTCTTACAATGGCCCGCTCCAGCCAGTACATCCCCATTGTGTAGACAAGGAAAGTAAGGCCCAGAGGGTGTAGCAACTTGACCAAGGTCATACCTTTAGCAAGTGGCAGGCTAGCCCTGGACCTGGGGGCTGTTTGATTCTCAAGTCCATGCTCTTTTTGCCCTACTTGCATCTCGGGCAGCCAGAGAGCCACATCCCTAGGCTGCATACCTGACCCCAGCTTTCTGAGTCCGTGGGATCTCGGCCAGGTCGCTCTCTGGCCACCCGCCATCCCTGCGCCTCAGCGCCCTAGCGCCAGCCCCCCCACCACCATACCTGGTCTCCAGGGGGATGTTGCTGTTGAGCAGCCAGTTGTCCTGGGCGTGGGCCGGCTCCTGCGTGCCGCTGGCAGGGGGCTCTCCAGAGAGCGAGTGGTCCGTAGGGGCCGGGCTGGGGTTGCTCCTTGGAGTGAAGTTGCCTCGATTCAGGGAGTTGATGGAGGCCGCGTGGTGCTGGTTGGGGGTGTGGGCGTGCGAGAGTGGAGGAGGTGGCGTCCGGAGCCGCGAGTGGTTCTGCAGGCCTCCCGGGTGATCTAGGGCACAAACATGCATGGTCAGCAGACAGCTACTTGTGTCCCCCCCTTGTATTCATATGTTGAAGTCCCAAGTCCGAATGTGATGCCATTTGTCAATGGGGTCTTTGGGAGGTAATGAGGTTTAGATGAGGACATGAGGGTGGGGTCCTCATGATAAGATTTGTGCCCTTCTAAGAAGAGGCCAGAGAGTTGGCTCTCTCTCCCCCCACTACATGAGGATACAGCAAGAAGGCAACTGCCTACAAACTAGGAATAGGGCTCCACCAGACATGGAATCTACTGGCACCTTGATCTTCGACTTCCCAGCCTCCAGAACTGTGAGAGAGAAGTGTCTGTTGCTTAAACCACCCAATCTAAGGTGCTATGTCATAGCCACCCATGCTAAAATGGAAATTGGTACCGAGAGGAGGAGTGATACTCTGACAAATACTTAAAAATGTGAAAGCAGTTTGGGACTGGGTAATGGGGAAAGTGTGGTAGAGTTTTGAGGTGCCTGCTAGGAAAACTTATATTGCCATAAAGAGACTGTTAAGGAGATTCTGGTAGAGCTCAGATAAAGAAGAGAGCAGTAGAAAAAACTCCCATCTTTTTGGAGAATAGATAAAAATTTATGTACAAAATGTTGGTAGAAATCCTATCTAATAAAGAAGGAATATGCTAATTGACCCTTACACTGTTGCAAAGATGGTGGCAACCTCAGCCAATAAGGAGGGAATATGCTAATTGACTGCCCTGCCCTCAAAGATGGTGGCACCCACAGCCAATAAGGAGGGAATATGCTAACTGACTGCCACGCCCTCAAAGATGGTGATGCCCACAGCCACAAGATGGCTGGCAGGGGAGGGCAGTTGGGGGGGACCAGGCCTGCAGGGGAGGGCAGTTAGGGGCGACCAGGCCGGCAAGGGAGGGCAGTTGGGGCTGTCGGGCCAGCAGGGGAGGGCAGTTGGGGGCAATCAGGCCGGCAGGGGAGCAGTTAGGCATCAATCAGGTTGGCAGGGGAGTGGTTAGGGGGTGATCAGGCTGGCAGGCAGAAGCGGTTAGGGGCAATCAGGCAGGCAGGCAGGCAGGCAGGTGAGCAGTTGGGAGCCAGCAGTCCCGGATTGTGAGAGGGATGTCCGACTGCTGGTTTAGGCCCGATCCCACGGACATCCCCAAGGGGGTCCCAGATTGGAGAGGGTACAGGCTGGGCTGAGGGACCCCCACCCCCCCAGTGCATGAATTTTGTGCACTGGGCCTCTAGTATAGACATGAAGGGCAATTCTAATGAGGTCTCAGGCAGAAATGAGGATCATGTTATCAGACAATGGAGAGAAGGGGATCCTTTTTATGAAGTGGCAAATACCTTGGCTGAACTGTGTTTATGTTCTAGTGTTTTGTGGAAGTAGAAGTCCTGAGCAATGAAATGGGATATTTAGCTGAGGAGACTTCTAAGCCAAGTGTTGGAGTGGCTTGGTCCCTTCTGACTGCTTATAGTAAAATACAAGGAGAGAGAAATGAGTGAAAAAAAGAATTGATAAGCAAAAAGAAACTATAACTTAAAGACTTGAAAACTTTTCAGCCTGTCCATATTGAAAAAAAAAAAAGAGAAAGCATATATGGAGGAGAACTCTAAGGCGGTGGCTGATTGACCATTTGATTAGGAGATTAATATAGGTTAAAATTATGGACCTAAATAGCTGTCCCAGAAGGAGCACTGCCAGTGTGAACTGAAGGGGAAGGAGAGGGGATGAAGGGTAACTGCTGGACTTCTTAGATTCTATAGGACAGGACTATAGATCTATTAGGTTGCAAACACACTATTTCTTTAAAAAGAAAAAGGAAGACTAGCCTGAAGCTGATTCAGAGATCATCAGGGCCACTGCCTCAGTTTCAACAGGCCTAAGACTAAGATCATTTGTGTCACTTAATCTCCTCGAGCTTCTGTTTTCAAATGGGGAGGAGCTTATTAAGGGACTCAGAGCTACAGTGATAGCAAACCAGGCAACTGATGGGAAGGAAATATTTCTGAAGTTCACAGTGTACAACGCAGTCCTCTTCATTAGTTCCCCATGAGAATCCTGCATTTATAGAGGAGACAGGATCAGGGAGTACAGAACCTGGACCAGGCGCTGTGGTATCCCAAAGGCTGTGCTCTTCCTTGGCCCAGGAGACCGCTTTCCGGAAACTGCCAAGCTCTGTTAACTGTGAGGCTATCACTGTGACGGCTATTTTTAGTGGAAGATGCATCACTCTCTGCTTTTTAGGTAACCCAATCTTTTATGCTAATGTTAACCCAATGCCAACTCAATCTTTTAAGCATAATGCTAATGCTAACCCAATCTTTTAAGTAAGTCTGGTGGGAGTGGGGGAGAGGGCAGGGACAGAAAAAAAGGAAGTGGAGACCCATCTGAGCGATCACTTTTTTCGTACAAACTGTTACCTTCAGGATAAGGCCCACTCAAGGTCTACCAAGTCCTTCAGTGTTTGATCCACACCTGTCATTCCAGCCTCATCTCTCATAAGCTCCCTCCCTGTACCCTCCACTCCAGCCACACTTTTCCACAGAGGACAAGGGATTTGCTGAGGCAGCTCAGTGGCCGAAACCTCAACACCAATGAGGAAGGTACCCAGGATGTGCCACGCTGTGGTCGTGGACCAGGAGGGCATCCGCGGGTGGCCCCTTGATGGGAGGGGAGAGAACCTGGGAGCCAGCAGAATAGGCAGAGGGGCCCAAGCAGAGAACAGACAGCCTTAGACGAGGCAGAAGGCAGGAATGTGCAGGGTCATTTATTTCTGTCTAGCTGTCCTCAGGCAACACTTTAATGGAGGCATTTGGAGCCTGGGACAGAAGCCAGCACCAGAAGTGGCCTCCTGGGATGATTGAGTGTCCCCCTACCCGTGGCCCTTCAGGCTGTTGGCTACAGTCCAGTGTGCCTAGCAGTGAGAGGGACTGTACCACTACCGTCCAGTGGTCATCAGAGGCCAGCAGACAAAAGTGACCTAGTCCTTACTCCTGGCCCCATAATAGGAGCCAACCTCCTCATGACATTTTACCTAATTGATATTCATAGTCACTGCCATATGAGCACCTACTATGTGTATTTTCATAGCCTTAACTTTTCTAATGGTCACAACAACCCCTAGGGGGCAATATTATTATCATTCCCATTTTATAGATGAGGAAGCTGAGGTTTACAAAACTAGTGAATGATCCTTACTAATCCAAAGCTTGAATCCTGCCTACCAAACCATGGTGCCTTTGCAGAAAACACAGACATCTTCTCGACCATCTTAATCCATGGCCAAATGTAGGAAAAGACCCTCAGTGCAGACAGCAAGCGTGGAAGATCTGGTTCAGGTCAGGGCTGCCTGCAAGCCTACAGACTTCTGCTTTGTGACTAAATGGAAAGGCTCTGGCTTGATAACTATTTGTAAGCACTGCCAACAGTCCTGAAATGATACAATTTTAACTGTAACACCACTGGTCACAGATATAAAAATCAAATTTCTAAAAGGAAATTCTCCTATGGGGACAGGAAACATGCTGGTCCAAATCCTCCTCTTTTTTTTTTGAAGCTCAGCTCAATTGCCACCACCTTCAGAAAGCCTTCCTTGGTTTATCCTCCCTAAAGTTCTTTTTTCCTCCATTGAATGCTGACAGCAGGTGACCTGCTTCTTTCACCTTTCCCTTCTCCCTCTGAGCTTGCCTACTCTGGTGGTTTTAAAAAGTCCTGTCCCTTCTGTGCTGGTGATCACAGGTCCTAGATCTGGGCAGATGCTCCAGATGGGTTTACTTAGTGAATGGCTCGTGTGAGTGGCCTGGGCAGTCTGTCCAGGAGGATAAGTCTAGCGTAGAGGATATTTGTTTGCAAAAAAAAATGACAGACCGCCTTGGGCTCTCTAGGCGGTGGACCCACGCAGGCCTTTACTTACTTGCCTGGAGCCAGAGTTGCAGATGCTTCAGCTGGGTTCTGTTTCCCTTCCCTCACCCCCCTGTCCCCACTGTGAGAATGCTTGGAAAGGGGACCTTGATGCTTTCCTGCTTCCCAAGGGAAAGGCTCTGTGTTTTGGGCCTCAACTCAGTAATGCAAACTCATTCAACGCCCCCAAAAAATACACGACTTTCTGAAGGAGCAAATCTTTCCTCTTGTCTAACTGGAGTCTCCTATGGCCAGGAGGGAAGGCTAGTGAGGGCCTTCTTTTTTCCCCTTCTTCCTCCCCAGTTTACACTTCCATCTCTGGAGGGACGCTCAGAACCAGTTCCCTCATTCAGCACGTGCCGAGTGCCTGCTCTGTGCCAGGTCCTGTAAACCGGGTGTTGGGAATACAACAGTGAGAGAGTGAGACAGAGATGGCCTGAAATAGGAGCTCTCCTCTGCTTTCTACTCACTAGCTGGGTGGCCCCCAATAACTCACTCAGCTCCCTGGTCTCCGGTCTGTGTGCCTGTGAAAGGGTGCACACATTCCCATGTCACCACTTTCTAGATGATGGAAAGCGATATCCTTTGCTCAAGTGCCAAGTACACAGTGGGCTGCCATGCCCTGAGGGAAAGGAACCATGTGCCACTCATCTCTATATTCCCAGCAAATATTTGCAGAATATGGGGGAGAGGACAGACAATGAGGTAGGTGGACTTCTTGCCTGGACAAGCAATGGCTTCTCTCCTGCTCCCTGAGAGTAAGCGTTGTACATCGCAAAGCTGTGCTTTAAATTCCAATTTATATCCTCTTCTCGCAGATATAGCCGCCAAGTGTATCTCTGAATCAAGCCCCAATACGAGTCATTTCACTGTTACATTGCACACCTGTCAGTAAAGGCCACTTGCTTATCTGAGTTTTACATGCCTGGTTTTCCAGGAAGGCGTTTTTTTTTCCTCTACAAGTTGTTGAATATATTTAGTTGCTTGTTCCCTTCAACACTGCAGACATTTTTCCTTTTAGATGCAAAAATTCCTAAAGACTGAATTCTCCAGGCTTTGTTTCCCTGAACCAAGATCAAAGTGAGGTTTCTTCAGAGC